TTATTTTCCAATTCGTAACTGCACTTATATTTTAAACAATGCTTTGTAAAAAGAAACATATTTGATAAAAAAACAACGTCTTACACATTCAGTCCCATATATGGCTCATTGCAACCTGTACATGTAATATTATATGGGAGTGTTTTCTGGTGAACAACAGACCTTTACTGCTTCCTTCATTCGACCTACAAATGTGCACTGCTGTCACATTTATCTGCGTGTTGGCTTTCCCTTGAGAGGTTTTAATATTACCTGTCTCTATAACTGGTTTCAGTTGGGCAAACATCTGTGTCAGGCGTATTGAGTGGCTGTATGGGGATATATTGAGAAGCAGCCATCAACAAGTATACATCATACACATTTATTGACGACAAAAGATGTTGAAACTATCGTTGCGTTTAATCCATCATATATTACTGACTAAAACATATATTTTACTTCACGTGAATCTGATGTTTGGCAAAGGGTATTAACTGTTCTCTTTCTGCACTGCTATACTACGTTACTTGTATTTGAATACTAAGTGTATTTTAGCTTGCTTAAACAGTAATTGGATGTAGGTGATAAACACCTACATGATTTTAATGTGTGTTTCCTGCAGCTTTGAAGACGCCAAATAGAATCAGGGCCCAGAGGTTTTGTCTCTTGACGTTTAGTAAAGGTACACACATAACACTATTCAAAACAAACGAGCCTTTATATTCTGTCGGTGGTATGTGAAAGACGCCATGCAGCCACGTTGAAAGTCGAAAGTAGAAACAAGATACAATACAATCCTTTCCAGGAATACCATCAGGCAGAGTATGTGACAGTCATGCACATTCCTTGGAAGTATAAAGTAAGCCACGAGGCTGACGATCTGTTATTCCCTTCTAATATTACATGTAGAAATGTGCCCTGCAGTGGGGTACTATTGGTGTAGGTTCCTATCACTTTATGTGGCGATAATAAGGCAGTCCTGGCCTTTACTAAAGCCGTCACAATCGGCTTCCTCAACCACGCGCTTATGAGTGAGTGAGTATAGTTTTACGCCGCTTTTAGCAATACCAAACCCCACCCCCCCCCCCCCCACCCCCCCCCCCCCCCCCCCCCCCACCCCACACACACACACACACACACACACCCCAATATACATTTACAATGATAAATGCATGTCTCCTGCCTACAAAATTATTTGAAATTAATTCAACAATTAACACCAAGACTAAATTGAATATGTTCATGCTTACTATCGATGGAATGAACTGCACCCCAGAACCATAGACTAGCCAGTTTGTTCAGGTATATCCTTTTGACCATAATACAACCACGTTCACCACTCATGCATGAACATTGCTACATCCACAATATAGGCTCTTACTACATATATTCCAAAAACATCAAGCTTTAGAAATGAAGATTTAATTATTTTGCGAAAAAATGTATTTTTTCGGGATTATATCTCAACGTTGTCACTACAAATCGTCACTTAGGGCACAGGATCAACAGATGGTATTTAAAGAGAACTTTATACCACTCTAGTGAAATTACCGTTTAAAATAGCGAGCCAGGCACAATTGACTTGCCTGTTCACGTGTTTGTGACTTCTGCCACCAGTACGGTAGGCAAAGCTTACCTTTTGTGAAGACCTGGGATCATCACTATTTGATAGTGATTATTAAAGACATCCTTATGATGTCTGAACCGTACAATGGAGTCTTCAGATTTCTTTAGTTTATGGAAAGAGGTTTGTATCTTTAACTCCCGTGGACCTATATGGTATTTAGAAATCTGAGTGTTTAATGACAAAAACCTGAGTTGACCTATCCTCGCCGCTCAGGTTGTTGTTGTAGATGTCCCGGTAGCAGTAGTAGTAGCAGTAGTAGTAGTAGTAGTAGTAGTAGTAGTAATAGAAGTAGTAGTAGTAGTAGTAGTAGTAGTAGTAGTAGTAGTAGTAGTAGTAGTAGTAAGAGCAACAGCAGCAGTACCGATGAGGAGTGATGCTCATAATATCAATCAATGGATTGTCTGGTCAAGACTCGATTATTTACAGACTGCCGTCGTATAGCTGGAACTGTGCTGCGTTACAAATCAAATAAACAAACAAACAGCGGCAGTAGTAATAGAAGTTATTATCGTTAGTATTCCTTTTGTTTATTTTTATTCCTACTAGTTTCAACTGGCGAAGAGACGTTAGGGAAAAACTTATCTAGTAACAGCATCCTTTGATAACAGTAATATCGTGAGGTGAGCGAGTAGTCAGCCAGTGCAATATAATCCCTCCAGCATTATACGGGGAGGAATGTGTAATGTATGAAAGGATAACCACAATGCCATAACTTACAGCTTGATGGGAAGGGTAGAATGAGTTGGCTGAGGTAGCCCAGCGTTTGATAAAGTCACACTGACATGGTGTTGAATACACCGGTTCCCTAGTAACAACCACGGACTACTGAACCTGTACAATGACAATCTGTTTCTGCCGTGTAAACCTACCGTCCGCGTAGCAGTAATGTATAACTTCTTAATTTTATGTATGCACCGCTTGAGTTTGGGAGAAGGTGTTGATTCTATGAAAGATAATATGATATTTCAGACAGGTTGTCCTGTAGGCACTGGCGAGTCTCATCTGTTTACCTTATTTACCTCTACAAACAAACAGTATATAACGGTCAGCTTCCCCAATCAAAATAAGAAACTACATGTGTTAAGATAAGGTGTTGAGGTTAGGAAACTGAATGCATACATGTTGTACAATATATGTTATGTTGGCAACACAAGAATCAGGTAAACAAAATAACATGTGTCGCGTCATGTAGGTGCAAGTTACCTGAACTCGATATTTTGTGGACGATCGTATCTGTTTGACAAGCAGTTTATGAAGCTGACAAAGGTTTGTTATTTATGTAGAAAACATGCGCTGTTGAATTGAATGAATTTGGTATGAAGCTTATGAAAACAATACACTTTTTAAAGAAAGTTTTCATATGCAAATAAAAAAATTAATATCTGGGATCCAATCTGTTTTCCGGTCAATCAGATTGCAGCCCACGCGCATGAATATGTTGTATTATATAACGCGTGTTACATGTACAGATGTAGATAATTAACTATTTCTGTTGTGTCCATCTCCATCCGTATTCGATGTTAGAAATGTAACAGCTACTGTTTCGGGGCCTCTATGGTAAATGGAACTGTAATTACTGAAAGATCATAGCCAAATCCTATTGTCATGTAAATGTATGTTTCAAGTTCCTACTTGTGGGAAGTTGACTGCTGACACCTTCAATGACTTGAGTGAATTTGTTTAAAAGTCTAGATGCATGCGTTTTGAACATAGCCTTGTAATGGGGTTTGGAGGATTTAGAATAACCTGGTATTGAATAATGTTATCTTGACTGGGCACTGGTGATACACTATAAAGAAAGGTTTTATGATAGGTTCCAGAAAGGTAATTCTAGGTTCCAGAAAGGTCATTCTAACTACAAGAAAACTTCAGCGAGTAGGAGGTCAAATAGATTTAATGAAAAAAGCAGGGACTCTGCAAATCGTTGCAAAATGTGCTTCTTTTCGGATAAGCTTTTATAAAAGTGAAGTAAATTACAACTGACTAACCACTGTCGTGACTCACAGAATGGCTCTATATTCAAAACATACTATATCAAAAATGTGTCATAGTTTGTAAATTCAAATTATAAAAGAAGATTTGTTGAAAGTTTGTGTTTATGACAATTCCAAAAGTCATCTATATGCTCTAATCCTTATGAAAATGTTTATGTTTAGAATCATATTACACATACAGAGCGAGAAATATGTGTTTTCATGCGGAATTAAAAACAAGATTGAACATCTGTGAACATGACATTGACACATCAACAATTCGTGTAAAGAAAGTTCGTAATGGTGAGGTGGGGTGAAATGGGGTCTAACGTCGCGTCCAAGATTATTGCACTTATATAGCGACGTGCATGTACGTGTGTGTGTGTTTGTGTGGCTGCTTGTACTAGTCCGGACTGATGCCGATTTATAGTGCTAGCTCACTGAGATACCATGCCGCAGTTTGACATGAATACCTCACTCAGACACAGTATGCTGACTCCGAGCCGACCAGTCCTTGTTTTAGCCCCTTAATGCCGAGCGCCGGACACGGTAACAACAAGTACCATCTTATAACGTCTTTTGGTATGACGCGGCCTGGGATCGAACCCCGGACTTTCCGCTCTCCGGGCGGACGCTCTACCACTAGACCACGGAGGCGGTCCTTTTTCGTATTGACATTCGCATATGATGATGGATAACGAGAAAGATTTTAAAATGTTAGTTAGAATCCCCAGCGTAAAAAGTCTTTTCTGGTCAATTTCAGTGTGTTTTCCTATACTAAAATCCATATGGGGACAGAACAAAATGCATATTGTTAAAATTTAGTAATATACGGTTTTTTATCTATTTCACGTAACGTGACACAATGTGTGGACGCAGAGTATATTTCAAGAGGGCTTGTCTAATATGCAGGTGAAGCCTTCTGTTAGGATGGAAGATATTTGTTTGACGCATCTGGTATGTTATTTATTAGATTATGAAATGCGTCCGTATTTACAGCTTCATAAATAAACATAAACATAAATATAACGATTGTTTTCCACATCATATGATAACACAGATATAATGGATGAGACAAAGCTGTGTAAAATGTCTTTGTTACCTGTATTCATCAGTCAGAGAATCATTCAAACAATCATTGTTTATTCAGATTAATGAATGGTCTAAAACCCATATTGTACATCGGTATTATGCGAAGTGGTTGTGAGATACTACATTTACAGTAGCCTTTTCTCTTACATTCATCTAACAAAATTTCGTCTTCAACATATTCATTTCTATCTTCCGTCCTGTACGCTAGTTTCCTCTTTTCAAAAGCGTGAGCATTCTCCTTCGTGACTGGTGTGTTTTCTTTCCTTGCAGAACCTGTTCACAGCCATCGAGTTTATGAATAATGTGTGGCTATGCAGGATATAGCTATTTATCACGTGATGTGTTGACGTGGTTGACACGAATGTGTGTTAGTCAATATCACATTGGTTAGGGCGCAGTTTGAAAGACACCTCCATGCAAAGCCAACTGAGTTTGTCCCTCCGTATGAGTTTACGTTAACAGTCAGCGCTTCTCCTGGCATGTTGTAAAATGTAAACCCCTAGGTTCTAGATGTCATGAATCTTTGTGATTATTGTGGAGATGAAATATTTCAACATCAACGTGTAATTGTGTATCACAAGGATGTAGACGTTCGTTATGTGACACAGCAGGATTGTATACCAGTGGACTTTGAATGTGTCACTGTTACTGTATGTGGCGAAGGAGACAACATAAAATATCTCAAGAAGGGGAGCTTATTACCTGAAGGTTTTCAACGTGTATCTGTTTCTGTCAGAGATTGGGACGTAAACTATGCTTGGAAACAGGACTTGAGACCAAAAGGTTTTGAACAGGTTTCTGTGTACTCCAGGAATGGAGCAATAAAGTATGCAAGAAAAGGGGACATCCCACCAACAGGGTTTTATCATGTTTCTGTCTATGCAAAGAATGAGGAAATAAAGTATGAGAGAGAAGGTCGTCACATCCCAGTAGGTTATGAAGAAGTGGCCGTCTATGTCAAAACCGAAGACATACTATATACAAGGCAAGGAGAGACGGTACCGACAGGGTCTGAACACGCAGACGTTTATGTGAAAGACAAAGACATAACACAAGTAAAGTGTCTACAAGTAAAAGAAGCATTTCATACAGAGTGTCTGGAGTAAGTATTGTATATTGTAAACATTGGATATGCATACTGGAAAATGCCTTGTTATTAATTGTTATACATTTCTTGTACCTTGTTCAGATATTTGTTTTCTCAAGTTGTGTTTGATATGTGTTTTATTAGTATTTATTGGGCGGTCGGGTAGCCTAGTGGTTAAAGCATTCGCTCGTCACACCGAAGACCTGTGTTCGAATCCCGACATGGGTACAATGTGTGAAGCCCATTTCTGGTGTCCCCCGCCATGATATTACTGGAATATTGCTAAAGAGCGGCGTTAAACCAAACTCACTCACTCACTATTAGTATTTATTCTGATGATTGTGTCATTACAGAAAACATATTCCAAGGCGTGATGAGGCAGTTCGTAAGTTTCTGAAAAATGTCTCTCCAAAATGCAATGTCCTGTCTACCGGGCTTCATGTCAAGTACCTATTTGGGGTAGGGAAAGAAAAACAAGATAAACCAAGAAAGAAAAAGGAGAAGAGAGATTGTAAAGCAGCGGAGTTACTGAGAAAAGTATCAGCTCTGCGCAACTCCAACTCTGGATATATACTGGTTCATTTTGTTGGCCTGGCGCCTGGAGATTCCTTCACTGGCGCATTTGATGAGTTTGCTGACCCAAAACTTCATGATTTGATTCAAGATGGGAAACAATTCTGTGATGTTTACAGAAAAGAGACACTAAAAAGTCATTGTGCTTGTAAGGATTTTGGCGACTTCCTTGTTCTCTATGTAGGAGCTGCTTCTACTGTGACAACTTCTAGATTCAATACCAAGACAACATTTGATGACTGCATTATTGACATTCCTGCAGCAACGCTCAAGACCTTTGTTAGAGAAAGGAAAGCCTTCAAAGAAACATTCCATACAATTCCTGGTGTGACTCATGCAGATGATCTTCTGAATGTTCGTGAAAACAGATCACTTCAATTGAAAAGTAACTTTGAACAAAAGGAAGGGGATCAAGCATTGGCAGAGTATATTATCAAGAATCTCAAACTTGCAGAATACATAAGCGCATTTACTAAAACTGAATGTGGTGGTTCTTATCTCTATGGTGTCCATGAGGAAAATTGTTTTCTGGAGGGATATGGTTATGAGACTAAAGTAATCCGCATCCAGCCTGTTGTTCTGAGGGACAGAACTGCATTCAAGGACACGTTAGAGGATAACATTGGGAATTTGGTTCTCGTCTGTGACTATGACGGAAACGAGGTCTCTCCAGATCCGAATATATTTCAAGTTCAATTCATTCCTAGCACAGCAGCAAAGAAAGAATGTGATCCAAGAGTCAACTGTGAATCTGGAAATCACGGACATGGTGATGTAGATCCAGTAGTTGTTCATGTTTCAGCCAGACCAGTGAGCGGGATAGTGTTCTATGACAAACAAGGACCACTTGCATATCGATATGACAAACAATTCAAATTGATCACACGGATAAATATCAAGGATTGGGTACGTGCTCTTACAAGACGAAGGGAAACACCAGAGTGAACTGATATAATACACAAAAAGACGGTAAGTTACGTGTGTCATCTAAAATTCTTATCTAATACAATAAATGGGGAAGGCTTCCGGTAAAGGCACCACATGGTCGATCACCGTTTAGGAGTACTCAGCTAAAATAAAGAGTATGTAAAAAAATGCATGATTTTCTTATGTGATTGTAAAAAGACTTAATTGTTACGTATGGACTGTAATAATGAAGAAATATGTCCATTAAAGCCTTTAAAATTGAAATTGTTATGAGGTATCATAAAGGTACGACATAGTCGGAAGCACATACATGCAGCATAAAGTGAGCACAGAGACGCTGCAGAGCACGCAGGGAAAGCAATATTTTACGTTCGCTTCATCGGGCACCTTTCATCATTCCTCATTACATAACGACGATCGCGATCTGTTTCTTTCTGCCCGACATTCAGTATGCTCTGACCGAGCATCCGGTGGAGGTTCATGGGACTCAACATTTTAACATGAATAATACAATATGTTGACGACAATGCATCATTGTGTTTGTATTTTAAGAAAGGGAATGTATGAAACTCAATTATTGTCCAAAATAATGACAATTTTGGGTTTGTTTTATAATAAACGTTCAGCTTAATATCACGTGCGTATTACGACAAATGGGTCCATTTCAATCCATGTCAATATAAAACAATACTGATTTGTCGTATAGAAAGTTCCTCTTCAATGAACATTTAAACTAACACAATATTAATACAATACTGACGGTCTTGGGTATAAAGACCATTACGTATGCGCGCGCTGTCTAAGCAATGTTATACTTTTTTTCGATTTAGCAAGGTTATACCTTTGTGGTAAAAAGAAAACACTTACACCGTCAGTTTTGAAGCTATTCACTTCATTTATTTTTTTTTTGGAGGGATGACAATGTAGATTAGAAATCCACTCTTAACTCAATACCGACCACGTGGTTCCTTTACCGGTAACCTTCCCCATAGGCTTGATTACGGCTGTGACTTCAATTCTGTGTACACATTTGGAACATAACCTTCACGTTGCTTGGCCAAAAATATAATTAAATCTTATTAAATGATTTCTTCTTCTCGTATCGTGATATATTAACTGTAATTATTATTTGACACAACATATATTGTACCTACAGAATTGTATATGTCAGACGACAGACAGACAGACAACATAATATGACAAAATATATTCAATTACTATCTCTACACTATCCTCCAGACAAAACTAATTGTTCATGGTGAATCTAACAACCCTTAGAAAGGGGAACTAATCAGAAGAAGTCTTGATACATAGGCTGCTGTATTGATTCACAAACAAATTTCATGTATATGTTGTGCATAAGCATCCATTCATGCTTGTGAATTGCAATGAATTGAACGTCCAATCACTACTATAGCAGTTTCAAAAATACACAGAACACACTAGAAAAAAGAGTCTAACTTACTGCTCTGTGTGTGCATGCGTGCACACAAAGAGGATTTGCTCGTAAAGACAAAACACTTTATCACTCATTTCAAGCGTACAACCCATTTGCCAAGGACATTTCTATACACTAAACTGCTGAAAAAGTGCCGAAATATTTTAACACTTACTCAAGCTAAATATAATATATGGCAGGCAAATTGAGAAAAAGAAAACATTTCAAATTTAAGACGGCAGTTGGGTCGAATATCGACTTCTGAGAATGCCTAGATACATAAATGTAATCAATTTATAGGCACCCATGATTAAGTTCTGCAATAGTCATTCATCCACCAATTAAGCTACTTATCCAATCCTTGCTTATCTATTTCATTGTACATCCGAGTCATCATTGCTCGAAGTTGGCAAAATCAAAGCAAGGAAATTTGGCAATGAAGTTTAATTTAGGCTTCAGGTATATGGATGGTATTAGATTGTTCAATAATAGCCAAATAGCCAAGTTAACTTTCCCTTTTATCTTGAACAATATTCCAGCCTTTATGGGTGTACATTTCTCAATTGTTTAGGTACAGTCGTGCTTGTCCCCTCCACGATGCCCTTTCCACGTTGTCATACAACTCTCACTCTAAAGTTGTTTGGTCAGGATCAAAACATTCAAAGCGTCAGTAAATATTTCAAAACGTTTATGATAGACATTTCGAAATTTGAGGCAAAAGTTACAGAATTATTGCCCATGCAATTCCCTAGTTTGACTTGTACCATATGTTCCCGTGTTTATTCAGGTGAATAACTGACTTGCCTTTGCATGTATTTATGGCAGGTGAGACCGGTGGGGAAGGTCTGCTCGTCTTTTCGCGAACACCTGGTATCATTACTATTTGATAGTGATTCATAAACACATGCTTATGATATAGTTGAGATTGTACGATAGACTTAATGGAGATTTCTTATGATTATCAGAATGATTTTTGTCGCTTTTATGAAGTATTATATATTTGTATTTGACGTTCGTAAACATGTATCAAGTGATGCAACTTTATGTGAATGTGATAGATACAGTTCATATCTGGAGTAGTGTGTAAAATATAAGTTTAAGCTGTTATGTATGTCAGCTGACATTACTCAAAGCAGTGTTGTATATAAAGATATTTGACTTCGAAGGGTAACAGGGGGCACGGGTGGCACAGTCGTCTAAGGCGCCGCGATTCGCTTTGCTGATTTGCTTCCCTTGGGCACTCCAGGAACCTATGATTGTGGGTTCGAATCCCGGTTCGCCCCGATTATGTTTCTAGGTTTGTCAGCACCATACCGGTGCTCGTGGGTTTCACCGAAGTGGTAAACGTCTGAGACCTGCATCACTTCAGGCTTTCCTCCCACATTAAGCTGACACGCCGTGATATAACTGGAATACTGTTAAAAGCGGCTTTAAACCCAACTCACTCACTCACTCACTCACTCGAAGGGTAACAAGGATTTGAACTGTTTGTTATGTAAGATGTGGATTTAGTTTTAAATCGGGGTTATTCTAAACTTTAGGTTCAAGCATAGAATAGACGATTATGGAAACTCATGTTTTATGGAAAAATGAATCATCACATATGTTAAACTGTCAGAATATTAAGTCATTGATAACTATGGACTATAAGTCAGAAACATTAATATAAGAGAACATACAAGATTCCTCTGCATGATAAATGAGACAGTGAGTTTAACGCCACTTTCAACATAATTTCAATTATATCATATTGTATGAATGGCATTGTGTATTCATAGCTTTCAGCCATGAGAGCCATGACAATTTATACTTGTCAGAGGGATACACAAAGTATCTGATCTAGACTACCAATTGTTGGACGTTCATTTTGCCTCGATGGCTGACTTTTTGTGCTGGCGATTAGGTGCCACACTCTAGGAGTGTGGGCTCGAATCGTAGATGGGACTCAACACCCCAAAAGTACCAGAATGAGTACTTTACTAATAAAGTGTTATCCAAAATATAATATTTGTAACATTTCTTAATGGCATTCGATATATGTTTCCTTTCAAGTTTATTAACATGATAAGGATGCGCATAAATGAAAATTTACCGTTATGTTCTTTTTATTGATCGGTTTTGTCAAATGAATGTGATATAATTGTACACAGACTGATAACAAATCTATACTTGCCTTCTATTCCCAGAATGTATGCATTTCTTGTCGATGGAGATGTTCTTGATTTTTACTCATTTTCTAATAATTGCAGGCAGGATGTGGAGACTACTAGTAAGTGCACATATATTTGTTACAAAATTTAAGAAAACATATATGCATGTAAGGAAAATAATTATTGATATTTACTATCTTTCTGTACAGCTGCCAAGATTAAATACCATTTATATCTATAAATAGGCGACAATCACAAGACTAGTAATGTTTCCTTAAAGAGTTGAACATTGTTTAACGCCACAGTCATCAATAATAAAATTGTTTAAACATTGTCAGTATAAACTTCATGTTTCATTTCATGTTCCAGCAAAATATCGCAAAGGAGGATGAGCATGGTCTATGTCTGGGGACAAACGACTTCTTTCGTCCGGGCCTAAAACAGATTGGAAACAGTCTCTATGAAATAAGAAGTTACTTCATTCAAAAAGGTAATAAACGTAATCATTTTACGGACTGCCTTCAATAATTTTAGCAAAGCATATATTTTATAGCATGGACTTCCTCCTGATGAGTTTGGTGAGGCTATTTTATACACATTTTATTAAAATCTTCGAAAGACATCAAAACGTGTTACCCCTTGAAACGTTTAACAGTGCTGTCCAACTTTTATATATGGGCTAACTTATTTGGTTAATTTGATCTGTGTAGTAAATAGAACATTTTGTAACCATATTTAGATCTGCTGTGTTGTAGTCTTTTAACAATATAATGTGTAGGAAAGAATTACTCATCCGTCCACATGATAATCACAGTCTGCAAATTAAGATTCTGTTATGTGATACTTGTTAATTAGCGGTGTCACAGAATTGGCATAGGACCATTCTTCATGTAATTGCGTGCTTTCAAGAACTGTATATTTGTATATTTTCAGATGGTCAGAATATTGTGCCAACAGACCTAAGAACCCCTTTAGCAAAAGTGAAAGAACAACTCATTGAGCACATAGAAAATCACGCGTTCGACTTTGTATTTGATCCTCTGACCAATGAAGTAGTAGACGATCCAAACCCAAAGGCTGGACCATGCTTTATGTTCTTAGCCCATTCCTTATCAGTAGTGCTAGATTTCCCCACATCACCCCGTCCAAGCCACACAGTGTGTGATGTATTCCTGGCACTACCTACACAACCTGTGATAGTTTTGTCACTAGTTGATGGAGATGCAGAGTCTCCTGAGGCAGTGATGTACAATACATCAGTGAACAGAGAAGTGATAGAGACACTCAGCAGATTCACGGATGAAGATGTCAATTCCATACATGGAGTCATTCATACGTCGATCCTCGAGGACGCTGCCTCATTTGAGACTCGACTGAAGAAGTTTGCAAATGATTCTTCACGTTTTGTCACAAGAGATTCTTTGGTAATGACACCTGGCAGATATGAGAAAGTACTCACTGCTTTCTGGGCTGGCGTTGCTGAAACAAAGTCGGTGCTTAAACATACTGGTGACACTGATGGTGATTGTCTGAGATTTCTCACCAAAGAACAATGTGTCATTCTGGTGGAGAACATAAACAATAAGGATGTCCAGGTGAAGTGTGCCCCTGGAAGTGGAGCCACGACGTTGATGCTGGAGGTGGCCAGGAGACTCAACCGACAGGGGGACACTCTGCTGGTGTGTAGGTCACGGGAGGAGAGGGACAGACTCAGGTTTGTATTTAGATATAGCAAATGTAGAGTGTATACAGTCGGCGTACTTATTGGTTTGTGCCACCAGTAACATTAGAATCGTATCAAGTCCGGTAACAACATAAAGCATCAAACAATCCCATTCCTTTCTTGAATAAGTCTGCAGAAAGAAGCCTTAACTTAAAGCCTTAATGATTGTTTGAAACCATCACATGATATGAGTTCACTTTTGTAAAAACGTGTTTCCAGGTTGGTGTACCCATCAGCTGTAGCAGCAGAGGATCTCAGTACGGTTGACCTGTCCTCCTGTGTGAATATCGTGGGTGAAACCAACACAGTCATGACACACGCAAGCAGTCGGAAGTGGCGATTTGGAACATGTAAGTATATTTACATATGACAATAAATTCAGTACTCTATAGTCAAAACCAGACTCTTTGTCGTTAATACATATACTTCCTTGTCAGATCATGAATGTTATTTTTAATCTCATAAATGTGGTGAAAGAAAGAGAAAATGAACACTATAGCATTTTTTATGTGTTGGTGATACAAAAAATTATTCTATGTTCAGGTAACCAAAATTTTTTGTTGACGACTTGCATTTTCTTCATTTTAGATGTGACTGATATTAAGCAACTGACGTCCCAAATACGTGAGGCAGAAAGGGTAATGTATGTTGTAACACTAACCATTTCATGGCAGGTTTTAGGGGTGTGAACGTTTCGATTGAGACAGGTATTTTTCTTCACAGATATTTTGAGTAGTCACTTCCGTGGGGATGACATGAACAAATGCATCTCATGAGTTTGTTTCCTGGGCAGGATTGCCAAACACTCACAACCAATGAGACCAACAACATGTTATGTGAGAGCTTCCACGTCCACTCCATATAGCCTTCTTTTATGCAGTGAACACTTAAATAACAACTAGCTGCTATTAATACTAGTCAGTCGTATCAATACCCTACCTCCATATGGTGTTTGTATATTTCCACAAACCTACCCATGACAAAACGTTTTACAGTGATAAGGACATGTTCATTGAATACCCATAACTGGTTGACTCAAAGCCGCTTGTTCCAGAGTTGCTGATTATTAACAAAGTTTTCATTTTATGTTTACAGGAAAAAGAAGGGATTGAGAAACAAATAGATGTTTTGTCTGATGGTAAATGTTCATTACAAAGTCACGATAAATAACGACGAGAGAGATATGTGCAAATAACAACCCAAATAACCCTGATGATACGACTCTCAGCTACAGTGTTGGTACCTATTATACATACTTTAAGGTTTAAGTAAATTTGCTTTTTTTCAAAAACATTTCAGATGCTTGGAAGAAACAGATTGAATATCTCCTCAGGGATTTCGGTGTGCTGAAAATATTTAGTTACAAACTGGGACAAACAGGACGTATGACTGTAAGTTGCTGACATTAATTACCTCAACATAGATAGATAGATAGATAGATAGATAGATAGATAGATAGATAGATAGAGTGTGTTTGTCGTTTGAATGAGGACAAATGAAGCGAACATAAAATCACACACACAGATAGAAACATATATAGCAAAAAACACTGTCATTACACACCCTTAATAACAAAGATACGCCCCTCTTATAACATACAACAACAGTAACTGTGTATTAATGCCACTTTGGTATTTTTGTTTATTTGCAGGTTCATCAACTCCAACATAGTCTGGAGGACAAGCCACATGGGCTTACAACAAGCAAAGGTCACTATGAATGTGAGTATTTCCATCCATGAAGGCAATGCATGTGTTGAAAGAATGTTATAACCATGAACTTGGCTAAAACAAAAACCCGCTACTTAATGCAGTATAGAGCTATTATCTTTATAAAACTGCTTTGGTTAATGTTTACTGGGGGTGGGAGATGTGATGACATTTCGAACAATTATTTCAGATGTAGAAGATATTCTTTCTTCTTATCCATTTCAGCCTTGGGCGGCTGCAGGCTACTCTCTGTCACACACGAGGCTCAGTTGTCAGACCTACATGACGGAATGAGACAACAGAAGAATATGTTTCCTCTTCTAAGATCGGTAGGTCTAGAAATTACAGAGAATTAGGTTATGAATCGCAAGCAAAATAATGACTACCAAATAAGGTATGATACTGAAAATGCCATTGTCTATACATTTTGTTTCAGGTCATGATCAAAGATAAAACGCTTCAGATGTATCACGAGGTTAAAATGGCCCACTTGAGGAAAGGTATGTAGTGTACATAATTACACAGATGATTGACATGTCCTTGGAACACAAAGTAGCCAAATAGATACTGCATGTCCTAATTCGTCCCCTCCTCCATTCCACCTTCCCTGTTAAACCTCCATTCCTCATATTGGCCTTTATTCACCTGTACTCCACAAAGCCTTCATTACAATACCTCTCCCCATGACCTTCCTCCAGGAGACGTTTTGGTCGTACTTCAGCCGAGTCATCAAATTGGTCCCGTATACCACGCACCCCTCCCCTTCATCCCTTGTCAAGCTGCTCATTCTTCCCTCGAGCACCTCGTCTCTTATATCACTTTTACTCTGTCTTACCTCCACATATCATAGATCACATGTCACATTTCTGTATTTGAACTGTTATCGATCATGTTCTTGTCTCTTTCCTTTCTTCTACCACTACTACCCATTATCCCTATTCTTCCATCTGTGCTTCAACAGTTATTCCATCTCTCATTCTGTAACCATTGCATCTTCCTCCTTCTGTGTGTGCTTCATCTTTCCATTCTCCCATCTGTCTCTCGTTATTCCTTCCTACACTTAAACATGTTGTACCAGTGGGACATTTGCCTTTACAGTGGTTCAACTGGTATATAGCATGTAAGTGAGATGAGTGTTCATAAACTGATATATTTCAAAGACATATATAATACAACAACTTAATTGTGATTGTACGTTCTCTTTGTATTTTCAATCTTTCAGCTTTGGGTCCAAAAGAATATACAGAATCGAAACAAAATTTTACGATGGTAAGGTGTGACCTACATATCTATAAAAACCGAAAATGTTCTTCCAAAAATACTGTAAATCGTGTATTAAATGCGGCTAGTATATTAAAATACAAAATTTCGGAATACAATGTTCTAACGGCATCTTAAGATTTAAAGAAGTTTTTGCTGAGATGTTTTGCCAATAATTGGCTGTTAAATGGATTACATTGTTTTCTTCAAGATCAAGGGAGGTAACGTTTCATTAACTTTTCAGTTTGTCCATGTCGAAAGTCCAGGCATTGAGCAACAGATGGGTAAGTTTCAACATATTATTACTGTTTATTATTGTTGTTTTTTAATCGATGCAATATGAATAAATCGAAATTACAATGACAGCATGTTGCTGCTGGTCAAATGCCTCTCAAACTACTGAAAATGTCAACACATTTCTGTTTTTGCTTGTTGCAGGAAGGGTTTACATTGAATCGAGGAATGCAGGAAAAGAATCTAACATCCAAGTATGTAACTAACAAGAATCTCACGTTCCTAGCCAGGTTATAGTTTCACAAAATTAATCTTATTAATCAATGTTATATTTTGATTATTGGATATTTAGGAAATGTGCATAGTATCGTTAACTGCAATCTGATAAGATCAGGATTATATTAAACTTCTTCAACAACCAATATAATATCTTAAGAATCACAGATTACATGACTGTATATATTTCAGCCAGTGCTGAAGGAAGGTAGCCAGACAACCGAGCTGGAAATGGAGGTACAGGAAACAGATGGAAAAGATCTTGAAAGTCGTAAGTATCTGCAGCTAAGAGTCCTGTGGAGATATTTCTTATATGCCACTTTTGCTCCAGTATTTCTTTCCTGCAACAGATTGCTTCCCTCAATTTGTCTCTGCAACTTTCAAAACAAGACATACAGTCATTCATTTATTGAAAGGGTATCCTCGTATTGATTGGTGTTATAATAGTCGATGTTTGTCTGCAGGCTCGGGAGAACTCGACATGCTTAATCAAGATCTGGACAACCTACTGAAGGTATGATCATATTTTTAATAGCAAATATATCAAATTAATTGACCTTTTTAACAGCAATTTACAATGTGCATATAAAAACATTCACAAACATTCATAATAGACTTTCTTGTTTCAGGACAGGGATCAGAGAAAAAAACAACTCCACAAATTATTCACGGGTATGTATTCAGATTCTGGAAACGTATGCATTCAACTGAACTTAATTGAATGTCCTGCACATAACAAAATTACTGTCACTACTACTACTACTACTACTACTACTACTACTACTACTAATACTAATACTAATACTACTAATACTGATACTAATACTAATACCGGGGCGGTGGGGTAGCCTAGTGGATAAAGTATTCAAAGACCTCGGTTCGATTCCCCACATAGGTCAATGTGTGAAGCCAATTTCTGGTGTTTCTCGCTGGGATATTGCTGGATTATTGCTTATATCGGCGTAAAACCATACTCACCCGCTGACTTACTACTTCTACTACTACTACTCCGTTATATGATAATTAATGACTCATCGTTGATAATGTACTGCTCAAGTACTTTCTTCTCCAGTGGAGTGGCAGGCTACAATGAAGTACCTGACCAGACACACATCGGTCTTGTCTTCGTTAGACATGGAGATACCAGGGTTCGAAGTCGTGAGTATTGCAGTTTAGCTACTGAGTGAGATGTCTGCATGTTTAACGTTTGTTTTATGTTTTATTTTACAGATCATTTCCAATTTTGGTAAAAATAATAATATAGGTTTATGACCATTAGAGTTTCTGTTTTTTTTCTGAAAATGATACAATCCTTATATCTTTAATTGTAGTTAAGAAATAAAATCACCTTGTGTGTGATAGTCCACTTCTGAACGTCAGACACCTAGACATTATGCATGTTCCCCAGGATACTTGGAAGTCATCTTATATCATTGTTTCAGGGTGCACCAGACAGACAGGAAACAACCATCACGGGACGAGTCCCTGCAGTACCAGCATTGCCAGCATTATCTACAGAAGGTTATGATGAAAGTGGGGAACAGACAGGACCTTCAAAAAGTAAAAAGCGAAGACTTCATGTGAGTATGACCACATGTCTTCTATCCATACACTTGTCTACATATCTGTTCTCAGCATTGTAACATTCTTGTCAGAGAACATGAAAATTAATCATGTTCCACCCGTGACGAAACTCCCTTCTGATGTTTGAAACATTAAAAAATTCCCTTCTGGGTGAACCTTGCAAGTATATCAGTATTCAATTTGCTCTTACAAATGGTGTACAAATGAATGTACACCATCCCATGATCCTATGTATCCATGACAGTACTATTAGATTACATTTGGTGCCATCGTACCCCTACAGCGTGGATCATTTCTCATCATATCAATCGCTGGATTGTCTGAGTGTGGCGATAAACAACACACGCACGCACGCACGCACGCACGCACACGCACAAGCACACAAACACACACACACACACAGCTTGAAACGATTATACAAGCTTTGCTACCAAACTGATATATTGGATGCGTTCGGAAACCAGATGAATGAATTTGTTCTTGGTTTTAACGCATGTTCTTGTCTAGTATTTACCTTGTACCTTTTCTTACAGATCGATGGTTCTGTAACATCACAATCTGACCACACGTGTGATGGCCGAGACCACAATAAAGGTGAACCACAACATGCAGCATGTGATGTATTTAGTTAGCAGCAACTACATTGAGTGTGTAATGCAATTGCCCAAGAGATACTATCTTCAACTAAGGCTATTGTAGAGATCTCCACTCATCCAGAAAATTGCCAGCTATCCAGTGTTTATTTGACAGTTTTATAAGTTTGATAGATATAGGTCACAAAATATTTCATGAGATTTTTTTCTCTTTTGGTAATTATCAGAACAGGAATCTCAAAGACACACAAGAGCTCCCGTTCTGATTCACCAGCTGAGGCAATACCAACAGGGACGACTGACAGAAAACCACCTGGCTGATATTGCAATGAAGGTAAATAGCAGGGACCAATATCAATAGAAAAACAGATATCTAATCTATTATCGACCTGACTACTAACACGTACCTAGGATAAAAACATATCCCCCAAACAGCCACTCCATGAATGTCTTTGTCGTTTAAAAGAGGACGAAAAGAAGCG